CCCCAAAACCCCAAAACCCCAAAACCCCTAGGAGCAGGAGGAGAGTTGAAACGTAATTTTAATAAATATATGGGTGTAAATATGGTGATGGCATTGGGGTTAATGTGACTGGTGGTGACTGGTAGGCTTGGGTTGTGTTCAATGTAGCTTGGTGACAAGGAATTGGCTCTGTGGTGGAAACTAGAGTTGGGAGAGAGAGAGTATTGGCAATAGAGGATTCTTTTGGATATGAGCCTTTAAAAGATATGCACTTTTCATCCTTCTTGAAGGATAACTTTGGTAATAAGATTGGCACAGGGGGTGAGATTTTATATCTCTTCGTTTGTAAATAAGGACTGCTCTACAGATTCTCAATTTCCTGTTGGAGAAAACTACCTTATGCAAGATATGGGCAACGGAGATTATGAATATGTTTACCAACCCCAAGAAGAAGGAGAGCTTAAATTTACAATCTTACAGATGCACCAAGGTAACATCAAGGCTGAATACTCCAACAGTTTGGATCCTTCTGAGGTTTACGGAGTTAGCAATATGACATCGATGAGTTACAACTGGGGTAGTGGTCCTCTTTGGGTAAGCCACAAAGTAGTCTATTCTAAACCTAATCTTCCAACTCAACACTTATATTCTGAAAAAATATATCATTGCGAAGTTGGGAGGTCACTCCAGTTGCCTGACATAATTTAGGGGAGCAAATTAAATAATGTTGCAATAACCATGGAAGTTTATTTGAAGATCCCAGCTACTGACAACTATACTCTCAAAGTCAATGTTGATGACGTACTTACTCTGTACCTCGGTAAGAAGTTATGATATCTACTTTCAAAATTATGACACAGAAATTTTATTTTTAAAGTCTGCTTTCGTAAAAGTGGTCATTTCTGTAACTTAGGAAGATATTTCCACAATTTTTGTAAAAATTAGACCCTTAGAATGCCAAACAGTCTTAACATGTAGGTTACTATCAATTGGATTTTGTTCAGTAGCGTTATATTTTTATGTTCTTTGATTTCAAAAGTAGAATTCTTACAGTAACAAAACGAAGGGATACATTTTGGCAAATTTAAAGTTACAAAATTTTTGAAATATTGTCTCAAATTCTGAAGCATTAATACTGACATTAAACCATTTTCTTAAAACTGGGATAGATAATGACATGCTATTTACTACTCAATACCCAACTGTAACAACATGGTATCTTTTCTATAATTTCTAGGACACCTTTGAGGTTAGAAGGAAGTAAGCAACCCCATCAATAACTAAGAATCCTTTGTGAACTCATAGTCCTCCTAAATATTAAAAATATAATCTTCATTAACATATAGATCGTTTGTATTATTTAAAGATGATTTTTCAAGAGAATGTAGGGCCTGCTCAATTTTCAGTCAAGTGGTCTTCAAGTACAATATCTGAACAGGTTATCAGCAGCAATTTACTCTTATATCCAGCTGTCATACAAGAAATACAAGGTAAAGTTCCATTTTTAATTTTTAGGCACTATCAAATGACTAGATGGATATCTCTTCGATTCTTTTCAAGGCTGTCTTCATATTTGAGGAGACGGGATAAGAACCTCTGAAGAAGCATGAGACGATAAAAATCATGAGGATGGAGATGGATGAGCTAAAGACTGAAGCATTATAGAGCAGAACTATACATGTAAATTTTCACAATCTGAGCAAAGAGATATCTGAAAACATCAAGAAAGAGTTTCTGATAAAATACAGGAGATAAATACTGTAACAACCTCAATCAACTGTATTATTGGAATTTGAGTTGTTTCAAACTTAATATCTTCCTTATTCTTCACTGGTTCATCTCAGTCAATGTTTAGTCCAATAAATCTGTTGCAATTGATGTTTTTATTCCCTCTCCTTAGAGTTTATTTACCAGTGACTGTATTACAATTTTATGAAGAGCTTGAGTGGTCATCATTTTCTTTCGGATTTCTCACTCTGCAAGATCGCCCATTCCTAAAGGATGCTCTCACTCAATTCAGTGAAAGTGAGACCGACGATATCCTTAACCTTGTTGGGATATCCTACAAGTCATCTCTACTAAACCTTTTATCACCTATATCCACTTTTCTTATGCTGCTGATTCCTCATATCCTGATCATTAGCCTTTACTGTTGATGAAGAAGCACTAAAAGATGTGAAAAAGTTCAGAAGATCATCAAGAAGTTGTATTATTTCCTCACATTTAAACTCTACATCAGAAGTGGGATTCAGTTGATAATATTTGCTTCGATTTCTACTTTAACTGAAGTACAAAGGTTTGATTATTCTTGAACAGTCACAGTTGTCTCACTCCTGCTGGCCTTCATCTTCTTGTTTTGCATCTTAGCCCTAATCCTCACTAATGCATTGGTATGGCTGGCAGAGAGAAATAAGGATGAAGATAGTGGCACTCTTTATTTAGCAGAGTATTTTAGTGGCTTATCTCACACAAATATGGCTAAACTCTATACTCTAGCTGATTTGATTAGGAAATTTTCAATTTTGTTAACCTTGATCTTTCTGAAAGAATGGAATATTTTTGTGAGAGTAGGAGTGATATGAGCTATACAGAGCTTATTTACGATATATTTGATCCTCTTCCGACCCTTTGAACTAACAAGGGATAACCTTAAAGAATTATTGATTGAAATTATGATTTTTATTTATACTGTTTTATTCATATTCATGGCAAAGAAACAAAGTTGGGAACAAATTATTGCAAAAGTAAGCTTTAAAGTTATTCTCTATAGCTGTACGTTTATTTTGTCGTGGCTAATATTGCCATTACGACAATAATCAGTGCATGTAAGCCTCCTCTATTACTCTAGTTTGTCTTTGCAAAGATTTTATCCAGAAATTAAAATTCCCTAAAAGAGCTGAAAATAAAGTTACAAATATTGACCTGCCAAAGTAAAGTGTTTAAATCAAAATTAGGAAAACACAAAAAGTAGCTGATGAGAGTCGTATTTCAAAGATTTCAAATGACAAATTTCTTAGACAGGTATTGTTAATCTCTTGATTATTAGAACCAATCAAGCAAATTTTACAGACAATCAGTACCAAAAAACTTAACTTTTAGAATTTATACAAGATTAGAAATGAAATAAACTCAATTCAGCCTCATCTCAACTCAGAGTAAAGTTTTTCTGTATCGGACTGTGATTGAGAACCAACAGATTTCCATATAACAGTGACAAAATATACAAACTTGGTTCTAAAAATAAGAATGCAGCAGTCACCACCAGTCATGATACACTAAGTTCCTTCCTAAATGTACCTGTCTAACCCCATATATCATTCAAACTTCCAGCATTCCTCTACTTATTCCTGACCTATCGACTCATGTTTGTCACCACTTATTTTCAATTTTTTTTAAATCCTTTGGGGTTTTGGGGTTTTGGGGTTTTGGGGTTTTGGGG